GAGAGAGGGGGGGAATGAGGAGAGGGGGTGAATTGAGAGAGAGATTTGGGGATAAATCCCTCTCTCGGGCGCGGGTTGCCCAAAAAAATTGGGCACGCCCACGCCCAGCTTTTTTCCCTAAAAACTTCTTTAGCGACGGACATTTCCGTCGCTAAAGATGTTTTTAGCGATGAAAATTTTCCGTCGCTAAAATCCCATTGGGAAATTTAAAGCGACGGAAAATTTTCGTCGCTAATTCATTCAATTCCGTCGACAAAAAAGTTTTGCCGACGGAAATATAGCGACGGAAATTTCCGTCGCTATATGTAATGTTATAGCGACGAAAAATTCATTCACTATATTTCCGTAGGCAAAACCTCATTTTCTAGCAGTGTACATCCTCATGGTATGTGAAGGATTCATAAAAAGTTTGATTCAGAAGAAATCCTAGCCGAGGAGGTGACAGGATAGATGGGAAATCAATGTTAAGTACGAAGTAGATGTTGGTCGTAGAAGGAGAATCAAAATGTTCATCGAAGAAGCTAGTATTCAAGCAAATATAAGCTCGGGATTGAGCATCTTTTAACGAGGAGACTAATGTAGAAGGCATAACTGACAAATTCATGGAGGAGTGGAACTATCACGAGCTAAACATAGATACGTACGTATTATTGACTCGCCCACAAAAAAATGACTATTCTGACATATTATATATGAAAATCTTATATCTTGACGAGACGGAGCTGATGGGATTGTCAGATTTCCAAAATCTCATCAACAGTACTCAGTTTGGCTAAAATCTGAAAATAATCAGTTCTGAGTTTATTCTTAGTAGTAAAGTTATAGTCAATTTATATTAAGAAACAAAATTAGTTTTCATTCAATTTGGACTAATTTATTCCTCTATTACAGAGAGTTTTTAGATAGTTTTAAATTATTTCTTTCTTTTGGGAATTTTGTTCTTATTAGGATTATACTTTGTTTTTCTATAAAAAGAAGAATTGTAAACACTGTAGAAAGATCACTTTTACCAATAAATTATTTATTCTTAAATTTTCTTCGTGGATTCGAAGTTTTTGGTGGATTCAATGGCTGTTCTTTGTAGGTTCAAAGACCACTCCTTGGTGGATTCCGAGTCTTTATCACTTCCGTGCTGAATTACAAGGAAGTCATAACCACTATCAGATCAAGTTACATCAATCCAAATGTATGTCATGTGCTCTCCATCTTCAGCTCTAACTCATGCAACAGAATCTCAAAGTAAACAGAGTATTTGAAGAATTATGTTCATTGAACTATGAGCTCTGATACAATTTGTTAGGGCTGGAAAGGCCAATTAATGGAGATAGATTAGGTTGTCTATTGGGACAAAATTGACTCAAATGATTAATCTCCTTTGAATCATGAGGCCAGTGTACTTACCTACCAATGTATCCTTCTTATTCTCTTTTTAAGTGTGAGACTAATCTTACATCATGCCTTTTTCTAAATCAAACTTACGCTTAACTGAATGGGAGGGAGAAGTTGTAAAAATTTTGACATAGTAGATCTCTTCCCAGGAGATATGGGTCTCTTCGAGTCTCACCCTGATACCACCGGTCACATATTTTCTCATGCCAGCCATCGTAGCTTGGCGGTTGATAATAACGAACAAAAACAGTACTCCAGAAACCATAAAATAATATATTCCAAAAGCATCTTATCTCTTTTATAACAAAAAGACAAATCATCACCCAACGGAGTGCCTTCCCGAACCGCTGAAGGGCCACCTCCCGCCCTCTCTTTGCCCCCAAAAGCTCACCAGTACTCGACCTTTTAAGCCTCTCTCTCTCTCTCTCTCTGACCCCCTCTCTTCTTCCTTTTAGCTTACATAAAATCCCGCTGATTAAAAAAGGTGACGGCAATGGCATTGAAGACCCAGTCACCTACCAGCACTTGTAATTACCCATCGACTTTGTTGTTGAGATCATCAAGCTTAATAAGCAGCTTGAGCAACGGCAACAGAAATATGGCCCTCGGAGTCAGACTGCGTAACGAAGAGAAACGGAGCCGGCTGGTTGTTCAATCAAGCGGCAGCAGCGGTAGCCTTGGTGGTGAGAAATGGGGGCCTAAACCCAGCACCTTTCCGGATTCTGTTCCTTGCCTCAGCGACATCCTCTGGCCTTCCGCAGGTAGTCGACGGTCAAGTCCACATTAACCATGTTGTTGTTGTTTCTGGTGATCAAATTCTGATCGAGCTCTGATTGGATGGGGGCGCATGCAGGGGCATTCGCCGCGATGGCTGCTTTAGGAAGGATGGATCAGATGTTGGCATCTCGCGGGCTGTCCATCACCATCGCGCCTCTGGGGGCTGTATGCGCCGTTTTGTTCGCTGCTCCCAATTCTCCCGCCGCTAAGGTACCTCTTCTTCTCTCTGTTTGATTTCCCTTCTTGTTGATTGTAAATCTATGGTGGTATTGTTCCCAATAGCCTGAACATGTTGTTTGCAGAAATACAATATCTTTGTGGCTCAGATCGGTTGCGCAGCGTTTGGGGTGTTGGCACTATCGATGTTTGGGCCAGGTTGGCTTGCCAGAGCCGCATCTCTTGCTGCATCTATCGCATTCATGGTCGCCACCGGTTCCTTGCATCCTCCAGGTATATTTTCTCTTCCAGCAGATGTGCATTTTGTATGTGTGAAAAGTGTGCATGCATAAAAGCTTGTGATTGACAATCGATGTTGTCGATTGTGACCTAAATGCCTGAAACCCGATGAATATATGTCAACTAGTTACTCACTGAATGAACAATTCAGTAGTAAGAAGAACTTGCACAGGGTAATAAGATTTTGTATCTTAGACAAGCTCAACAAAGAGGTAAAGAATATGGGACTAAAAGTAACAGAGTTAGTTTGTTTCTTAACATGTGTACTTAAGTATTGACCATTTAGAAGTTTTACTCTTCAACAACAACAGGAACAACAACAAAAGACTTTGTCCCAAATTCTTGTCGTCAGCTACATAGATCCTGCTCTTTCATTAAGTTTTTGCTGAGGGTCATCTCCTCTAGAAGTAACGACTATCGCATCTTTCTTAAATGCTTACAACCGAGTATGCTGACTTCTAGTCATTTCTCCATTAATTATAATCTTCTAACTTCTTTTTGTACATTTGATGAGCTCCGTTGTACATGACCAAACCATATCTTTTACTCTTGTAATTACTAAAAATCTCTACATGTGAAACACTTTGGAGTCGATAAACTTTGCAACTGTTGTCTGACCCTTCCCAAGTTATGCAACAAAATCTCTGTACTTGGAGAACTGAGAAATATTCACGTCAATATCCATCAGAGCACATCTCAAACATCCCGTGCTAAATTTGTAAAATACGATCAACATATATTCCATGAGCTCCATTCAAAATTGTTTTTATGCTAATTATCTATTTCTCATGTGCTCAATTTGCAGCTGCGAGCTTGCCAATATTGTTTATTGATGGAGCAAAGTTCCACAGCTTGAATCTGTGGTACACCTTGTTTCCAGGGGCAGCTGGCTGCCTAGTTCTTTGTCTGATTGTAAGCTTCACTCTCCACTATGATTAATTCTTGCAAATCAGAAAATTACAACAATAATTATTAATAATAGTGCATTCATTTCTTGCATCATTGCAGCAAGAGATAGTGACATATCTGAAGCAAAATTGCAAGTTTTGATTCTGAGGAGCAACCAATTCTTTCTACATTGCGCACACAAGTATTACGGGGTGAGACGAAGGAACTCTTGTCGATTTCAGGCACACAAAAGTCATGGATATAATGTATACCAAGCATCCTCGTTACCTCAACCCCAGACTTGCGAATTCATACAATTTCCACAAAATAATGGATATCATCTATACAGAGACCTTTCTATGTGATTATAATTTTTTTAATCATATGAATTTAAAGGAAAATAATCTGTCAAGTTGGTCATTTGATTTTGCTTATCCAACATGAAAAGCTTTGCATTGCAAATAGAAATCAAGTATCAGCTTATCAATATGCGTGGTCTTAAAGATGAGCCAGCTAAGCCCTCATCAGGGACTTACTGCACAATTCGATCCAAATGAAGTTAATCTCAGGAAGAATCTTTTCAAAAACTCAGAACAAACATAGGAATGTGGATTCCTGAGAAGAAATTTTCGCTAGAAATCTTTTCAAGAAAAAAGCTGAAAATAGAAATAAAAAAAGAGAGAATGCTGGGGAACACCAATATAGATTTAACCATGACAAAACATCGACAACCAACACATTCATCCAAATCATTAGGGCAGAACAAAAAACAATGTGCACTTGAAGATCAATTAAATTAAAAGTTCCTAAATGTCACAGATAGGCCACTGCAAGAATTCTGAAGAAAGCGCCTAGAGGAGTTACATATAAAGGCAACTTAGAGAACAACTCCAGATTAATAAGAGTACAAAGTAACCAACAGTAACCAACAAATGAAAATCATACGCCTAGCAATACATGATTGATTAATATCAAAATCGGTTACAAATATGTGTTCCCTAGACACCCCCAACCCGGAAAAATACATCTATACATTTAATACATCTTCCAACCAAACTACAAAGAATAAACTACACTTCGAAAAGATCAAATCTAAAAGAACAGAAAACAAGAGAAGAGAAAATGTTAAATCAAAATTGAAGATTGAGTTACCTCAGCTATACATCCCAACCATCTTTCCGGCTGTTGAATTCCCAAATATTAGTTGCCAAATTCCCATACAACTTTGTAAATCTGGCAATGCACTCACTCCTCACATTATAATGCGCCTGTGTATTCCTACTAATTGCAACTCCCTTTAACTTTGACGTGTCAATAGCCCAAGAAGGCCTCACATACTCAACAGCCTTTGTTGATGCGCTTGCATTTGCATACAAGAAATTTAGAAGCACATCTTCACAGTTAAAAAATTTGTCCACCATATCCCTCCCTTTGCTTGCTTCCTTGCTCCAATACCTCTCAAATGCCAACCCTTTATCAACAAAAGCAGCTCCAGTTAGTATCATATTGTACCCTTTCTTCTTTCGAGAATATTTCTCATCCCGATATTGGAGGGGACTCCCTTCAGCAAGCCGAGGATAGAATCCCACTATTCTCTCTGGGTGATCTCTCCAGACCTTGAAACCTCGCTCTACATCATCACATGTCATCATTATGTCATCATCAAGCTCAAGAATGGCTCGTGTCTTTATCAGTGGATCTGGCTTGAACCTATTGTTTAAGGAATTTTTATCTTCTACTCTGATCCTAAGTGGAACTGCAGAGTCAAAGTCGCTTATATTTGGAGCTTGTCCTTTGTTCCAAGCCACCACAATTTCTCTTACCGAGGAGCATCTAGAGTAATGTTCCACAGACATTTTAAGATTCCAGAGCCTTGCATCATATGTCATAGTTAGCATGGTGAACTGAGAGTAATGCTCCTTCACTGAATAAGGCTCTTCTGCACCATTTCCTCCGTATATATAACGGGTACCGATGCATGTCAATGAAACCACTATTAGAAATATCAAAGTTAGGACTACACGACCACTCCATGTATTGGTCTTTATTTTTCCTTGAAGTGGAGAAGCCAACTTGTTCAAATGAGCTAAAAACCATCTCAACTTAGAATAGAGATGGTCCAATTGTTCCTTTTGGTCAATAGCATCACTTCTTTTTCCTGAGATAGGAAGGCACCGATTTATTTGTGGAACGCAATCAATAGCACTCATCAGTACTCCTGTTAGAATAACTAAAATAACAGCAGCTCCAAATGCAGTGCACCCTGACATAAGCCTTCGGACTGAGTCACCTGAAGAAGCTCGATCCCCATCCATCATAGCAATCCATTTGCCAGATGGAAGCATTTGGACATCAAGGTGATGGTATCTAGCTCCATTCCAAGAATTTCTTCCTTTTTTGGGCTCTTGAAATCCAAATACAACTTCAGCTTCCTCATATTTAGTGGTAGTGAGAGTCGTCACTTTGAATAGGCGTAATCGACGTCCATAAGTTTCACCACAGTCTTGTCCTGGTCGGTAGAGATCACCTTTGTACATAAAAGGCCTTCCTGCATTTCTAGCACCTAAGCTCCTGTCTTTATTATAGACTGGATTCTGCTTGTGTGCCTTCCACGGACCAAGTGGAGAGTCACTGTACCAGATTTCAAGCTCCCCATTCTTTTTTGCCCCAAAAGCACTGAAATCTGACCCAAAAAGCCAATAGTAGGCGTTGTATTCCACAATGAGTGAATCTATAAGGGGCTTACTCAAAACGACCTTTTCAAATTTCCATTTTAGGGGAAATTCCAACGCCCGATAGAGACGTAATTCACCTTTCTTTCTGCCTTCAGGCACCATATATATCTGTTAAATTAAGAAAAGCAGAAAAGGGGAAGATATCAAAATCTAAAGCTGAAGCAAATTGAAGTCTTTGTAGAATATGGGAGCAGGTATGACAGTGTAGACCTTACTTGATTCTGATGGCTGAAAACAAAGGGATAAGAAAGATGCCATCCCTCATCTAAAGCAATACCCAGGTGCTGCCAGGTTACTCCCTCGTCCTTGCTTACAGCAACTCCAATGTCCCCTTGCAGTGTGATAGAGTTCTTTGTTTCAAAAAACAAATAGAGAGCATCATCCTGAATAAATATTGATTACTGTTAGATACCAACAACAGATAGTTTCATTATTACAATAGATTTCACAATAGACAGAATGGAGGAAATAGATACATGTCTATGTCGTACAAAAATGAATCACTTTCGAAACAGAAATTGAAACTGCATCACCCAATTTTCAACTTCTGTGCTTTCTGATCAAACAATAAAACTGGGTTGAACCATATTCAAGATTGATTATAATCAAAGGTAATAGGAGATTAGCTGCTTGAACTTTCTGGTTTCTCTTCCAACCCAAAACTACTAAGTAATTGCCTCAAATTATTTGAACACACACATGCACACACGCGTGTGCGCACGTGCGCATGCACATACACACACACACAAATACACAAATCATTCAGATTGTACTTACAACCCACAAGTAAGTGATATTTGAAATGATTCAGTTGAAATATGTAAAAAGATTGTTCTACCTAATTATTTACTGCTATCATTCCGAATAAAAATCGTAACTAAACCCGTGATTATCATGATAAATTCCAACATTTGTCTCTATAATACAACCATATTGTAATTCTCCTCTTACCACTAACCATACATGAGGCAACAAGGGTTAAAAGCTCTTGTTTAATTCCTATAGTAGAATATTATTTACAATTTTACACACAAACAGATTTTTGACAGTCTTGATTTAACAACCTCTAATGGAAAAAGATGAGATGAGCACACAATTAAATTAAGGTAATTAGAAATGAATCCACAGACAAGCAACAATTGCAGCTCATGATGGATAGTTACTTCACAAAATCCTTAATAATTAAAACATGTTTAAGATACGTATTAAAACAGATTATTCTTAACCTGCAAAGGATAAAGGTGGTTATGTTGAAGTTGAAAGTTAAGAAGTGATTCAAATGCAAGGATCAGAAAGCTACAAAAGTACGGCAACAAAAGAAGACTCACAGGCCTCCAAAATCACAAGAAAGTAGTTTCAATTTTGAAATACACGAGTCAAAAACAATACACCAAGAGATACATAGGGCTGTCCAATTGGGCCTGTGGCCCGGACCCGTTGTCCGGCCCAGACCCGACTGGGCCCACGCCTAACTCGGACCCGGGAAAAGCCCCTAAAATCGGGCCAGATCGAGCTCCAGGTCCGGATCCTAGTTGGTTCGACAAAGCCCGACCAGGTTCCACAGTGTCGGGCTAACGAACCTGGGTCTGGGTTCGGTGTCGGACTAACGAACTCGGGTCTGGGTCGTGTTGGGCTTAGAAGCCCGGCCCGGCCCAGAATTAGATTCGGTCAACGACTAGAAAAATAGCAGTTGGATCCGATAGCCCGGACCCAACCCGGTTCGGGGAGAATAAATAGCCTATAACAGCTATTTTTGGTCAAATGACCAAAATACCCTAAAACAGTCAAAAAGGCTAAATTTTTAGGGTATTTTGGTCATTAGGCTAGGGGTTGACTCTCTAAATAGAGAGGGTTTTCATTTATTTTTCTCATCAAAAACTCATCTACATCTCTCTAATACTCTCTTATTCTCTATAATACAGTATTATACTCTATTATTCTCACTTATACTTTCTAATACTCTCTAATTCCAATGGCTTCCTCCTCCGATTATGAATGGTAAAATCCAACTCCCGAAATGAGTCTTACAGCTACTCCTACTGATGTTAATCACAAATCCAACGACGATGATCCAATACCTAGAGCTCATTATAGGCTAAGATATGAAGTGTGAGCTTTCTTTGAGAATAGAAGTCATTAGGAATCAACACAGCAAATTTCTCACCCAAAAGGCCAAATGCGCATTATGCGACCATATTTTTTAAGCTCATCATAAGAGCGACACTAACCACCTCAAACGCCATTTGAAAAACCACAACATATCGCAAGCAACGTCTCAATGCGACATCCATCAATCTCTACTCTCTCAATCATCTTCCTCTGATAACCTTGGTTCATGGAGCTACGACGCAATTAAAGTCAGGAAATGTGTCATCAGGCTTATTGTTCTTAAAATCTTTCCTTTTAAATTAGCAGAATAGATATGATTAGAGATGGTTTTTATCCCGCATTTTAAAAAATTTCTCATCAAACTTGTCAACGTGATATTTTAAAAATATTATCACGAAGAAAAAATAAAAACAGTTTCTTATTATCAAAGCTTAAATAGTAAATTTTTTCTAACTTCTAATATTTAGACATGTAGAGCACAAACTGGTTATTTATGTATCACAACACACAGGATTGATGACACTTGGCAAATATTTAATAGAGTTGTTTCTTTTATTTCATTTGAAGATTCACACACTGGTGAAAATGTTGTAAATTTAATAATGGAAGAACTTTTAAAATTAGAAATTTCTGAAAAAATATTCTCTTTTACTATATAATGCAAGTAATAATAATCTAGCTATAAACCATATCAAATCAGCTTTGATATTGCCATGCGATGGTGATCTTTTCCATATTAGATGCATGTGTCATATTTTGAATTTAATTGTTTAAAGTGCATTTGATGAAATTAAACCAATGATAGAAAAAGTTAGGGTTATAGATTATACTCATAATACTTTTGAACAAAGATTTAAAAGATGAAAACAATTGTATAGAAGGAAAAAATATAAAATCTAAGTTATTTCCAAAACATTTTGACCAAAGGTGGAATTCCACCTATGCAATGATAAATGTAACAATAGAGTGTAAAGAAACTATAAATAATTTTATTACTTTCTATAATTTGTATACTTCTAGTTCTAGCTTTGCATCTAGTTCTGATAATATGTATGGAATAATTAATGATGAATGGGCAATTATAAGTTATATAAAAGAAATGCTACAAGTTTTTTATAAAGCTACTATGTTATTATCTGATTGTTATTATCCAACTATTACTCAAATTGTCTTACAAATTCTAAATATTTGAACTTTTTCAATACTTATAGCATGGATGATTATTTTTCAGACACGATTTGGAAACAGAAAGCAAATTTAACAAGTATTTTAGATCTATTCCAATTATTTTGTGTTTGGGGATTCTTATTAATTTATGCGTGAAGGATATTGGCCTTTAAAGTTTGTTGAATCCTTTGTATGAGAACATGGTAATAGAAACTAGTAGTGATCAGACTATTATTGCTCTTACTCATCATATCACTATTAATATTATTTTCAAAGATTATTTGATAAGTATGCAGGTAGATATGATATAAGTATACCTCAACCTACATGTTATACAAGCTTTAGACAGGGAAAATGTAAGCTTTTTGACCGGTAACCGATGATAGATAGGCTAACAGGGATAGGTAGTAGTCGTGGATCAAAATGGCAGTAGCTATGGATCATCAACAAGGAAAATTTCTGAAATTGAACAATATTTAGCTACACATTTAGTTAAACCTCAAAATAATGTTGCTTTCGATATTTTGCAACGATGAAGAGTATATAGAACAGTTTCATATCCTGAACTTTCCATCATGACTCGTGACTTACTAACAGTGCAGGTTTCTACCGTAGCTTCAAAATCCACTATCAGCACATTAGAACATTTGACCAATGATCACAGAATATCGCTAGATCTATCTATCGTACAGACGATAATGTGCCTACAAGATTGGTAGAGGCACAAGAAGAGAAAGACATCAATCGAATAGCTAGTATTAAATATAGACTTAATGAGTTGACGATAGGAGATAAAGAGTAGAAAATTATTTGTAATTTGTAATTTTTATGTTTTAACTGCAAATCTGTGATAAATTATTTTGGAAAGAGTTATAAATGAAAATAATATAGATAAGTAGGTGCCAATATCTTATGAAAGCCCTGAACAATGTTAAAAAATGGTTCTATTATTTGCGCAGTCCAAAAGCTTTTAATGATTAATCGGATTAACATTGATTAAGTGGATTACGCGGAATTATGCGTTTTTGAATTTTCTTATATATATTTAATAATTTATCATACGTTCAAATATATAGAATTCATGAAAATAGAAAACATACTAAGAAAAGACACATGCAATTCACCAATCAATAACAGGTTGGCTACTTAAAAAATATATTCGTACATTAAAAATAACAAGATATTTAAATAAAAATCATTAAATTAAACACTTAAACCACTACTAAACGTCCATAAAACAAAAATAAATCATCTAGTCTTCCTAATCATTCTCATAATAATGAACATTAGCATCCAACTCCTCTTCGAAGGGAGCAAAGGAGGAGAGGAGAAAGTTTTTTCCTATTTTTTTATTTATACTTTTTCTTTTTCTTTTTTTTGTTTTAATTTGAGAGGTGGAGTTTTGGTGGAGCAGTGGTGAATCTGGTGATGTTTTAGGGTTTTTAGGGATTGGCGGAGATGGATGGTTGGAAAAGAGAGAGGAAGAGGCAGAATAGGATTAGGTTTAGGATAGATAGCAGGTTTTTAATATACAAACCGAACCCATAACTAAAAAAGCGCCTCTAACTCAATTATGCCGGCGCTTAATCAAACCCAACCCGCTTAAGAGGATGACCGCTTTTTGAGCGCTTAACAGCAGTTTGCCATGGATTTGGTCTGCTTTCACTTAATCGACCGATTAAGCGGCCATGTAATGCTGTCCTGAATAGCTAATTTCAACAAAATATTAAGGACAACAACTACTTCTCTAAGCAGACACACTATGGGGAAAAACCCAACAAACCAGATAAACTACCACCTCCCTTTTCTCAGAGAGGGGCTTGTAGGTTGCATACTGCTAAGATAGGTTCTTTCCACCATCAATCAACAGAACAAAGTGACACTCCAGCTTTTGCACCATCAATCACAGAGCAAGCGAGGACAGCAGCCTTTTCCCTGGTTCCTTAGGGACTGATTCATGCTCCTCTTTTGTGCATTAATTAGTGCAGCACAACATGCAGCTTCTATCATTTGAAAGCTCATGCTTTCCTACCCAAGCAAGAACACAAAAGTTAAGTAAGGTTGCTTGACAACCAAACTTCCTCCACCCCATTTAAAGAAAAGACTCTGTCATGCCTCTCTCCCTTAGATTCATAATTGGACTAAGTAGATAATCCAACAAAGATGAGGATCCCGTAAATGCAGCTTGAATAAAGAATGCTGAATGAAGAAGTGTTGGAGCTTGAATCTATATTATCAGGCTATGTTCAGAAGCCAGAAGAATAGGCATCTATTAAAACAAATCCACTTTTGACCTAATTAAACCCAAAATGCTTAAAAAATACGATTTGGTCTAATACCTTTTAACAAGGTGACATATAATACTACTTAAGCTGAAGGATAGACTATAGACAACTATTCCCTTCATGATGTAATTTTCTCTACATATAGAATTCTTCTAATGAGCTTGTTTTTCACTCTGGGAAGAAAAACAGAACTCATTTGGTTAACAAATTACCTGGCTCGGTTAAGGTAACTACAATACGTAAGCTCTGTATGGCTTCCCCCAAACTGCCCATCCCATAGAATTATCTTCATACTATGAAGGGCTCCACCAACAAGCATCAAGAAGTTTCAATACATCATGGAGGCATGTTGTTGAATATCATAAATACACTGGTTATCAAAAATTGATTCAGTTACACAGAAACAAAAGAATCCAATGAAGAATAAGCCACAACAAACTACTAGAATTAGTAATAGCCTACAGCTACCATCTGCCATCTATAGAATGACTTGGTTAACAAATGACGTGCTGTACGAAAGCATACACTACAACGCTTTTCACTATTTAAAGAGTGGATTCCGCTTTTATCATTTGAATGAATAGGGCCAACTATAATGGGGTCATTGAGAACTGAGACTCTTAAGTGAACAATTGATATTGACTTTCACTATGACCACTATTAAGCCGAGCAAGCCCTTAGTCCAAATGGTAGTTTGGTTGTACCATCATGCAAGGTAAAAGATTTCACCTTGAAAATGGTTTCTTCATCCCATAAGTAAACAGGTGAAAAGTTAATCAGGACTAGTTAGGGGGAAATTGCCTTCAGCCAACCAAATTTTGAAAAGTTGGCCTTTATATATGCAATAGCTCCATATTCACTAATTTATTTTACTCTGACCATCCAAACTAGCTCCGGGTTTTTTGCCACGAGCAATGATTCTTCATTGAGGATGATAACTTTTAACTCATTGTATCTGATTCATGGTTTAAGAAGAGAAATACAAAACATGGTAGATAGTACACATAAATTTGTGCTAATTCTTTCATCAAAAGGATGAAAATGACTTAAGATAGTTTACAATTTTGCTTACTTTTGAAAAAAGTAAAAGAGATATCAGTGTCTAGGTGGATCTAGCAGAAGCTGCAAGACATCAAGCAAGAAATAACCACAGAAGATCACAAATACAAAGGTTTTTCCATTAAGCAATTAAGGGCTATAAACAAAAAGCACCTGTGCCCCTTTAAAGACGAATAGTGTAGAATGTCTAATAACTGTTAGTTGTGAATAGAAAACTTAATTACTACTGATACTCTCTGATAGTATACAGCAGAAGGGAATGACTTCAAATTTGATTAATCAAATCCATCAAAGAATGAAGATAGAGAGCACAGGACCAAGGTGAATGACATTTCAAACATGCGCAAGGAAGCATTCCTATACTAAAAGCTATTTTCACACAAATTGCTTTAGTACTTGCTCAAATTTAAATTTAAAAAAATAAGTTATTGGATATTAAAAATTATGAGAAACAACTATAAAGTATGTGATTTTGATTTCACTCTTTTTCCTCAATATGTTTGCCTCAAGTTGTTGAACAAACTGCTACTTTTATATTAGTGGACAATTCTGTGGCTCACTTTCTTGGTTTCCATTTGATGTCAAATTTTACTTCTATTCAACAGATACGAAATGATATAAAGCATGTGATATTGTCGGAAATAGCAATATCACTCTTTTTAATAACTCATTTTCTTTGCTGGAAATAGTAAAAAGGGTCTGTTTTACTAGTGTATAAGAAATAAGCTAAAAAAGATGAGAAACCAACTAAAATTAATGCTTGATTCTGTGGGCATCAATTGTTTATCTTTACTCAGAGACTCAAATCGTTGCAGAAGACTTTTACTTTAGTATGTTTATTAAAAAGTTGAATATATATAAAGGCATGACAAAAATATTAGTGGAAATGCTTTTGAAGGTAAAGCACAGTCAATCGAGCAGAAAGAATGCATCAGACATCAGATTGCACCCTGAACATTGAACAAGCAGCTTAAATCTATTGCCAGAGACGCATAAAAATTACTGGCTCTGTTTTCCCACAGGTCAAGAACCACCAAATATTTCAAGCGAGATTAACAGTGAATTAGAGCTCAATAGCCATTCTATGGATCAAAATTTCTCAACATTACCATGTAAAAACTCAAACTCCTTCAGAAATTTGAAATTCTGCACTCAAATTAGAACACTAACCTGAACAAAAAGAAACGGATCAGCCCCGGCCACGCCTCGCTCTCATTCCTCCACACATTCCACTGCAAAACAAAAACCCACAAAATCTCAAACAACCCCAAAAAAAACACAAATTCAAGTAAAAATAACAAAAACAAGAACATGAACAAGCTTTCTATAATTTCAAGACGCACATCTTCCACTGGCTTCAAAGAAAACGGCGAATCGCCATAGAAAACTCCAATCGCCCACGATCCCTCTCCATCAGGTCGGCATCCTAATTTTGCCGTCGGCGATGCAACCGGCCGCTCGAATCGCGAGAATGCGATCCAAGAGAAGACAAAGGCGACGGATCCGAGGAGAATCACCGACGAAAAGAAGAAAATGAAGGGTTTTGATCGGAGAACTTGAGCCGATCTCCGATCAAAAATCACCATCTCGATCTCAGCTCCTGCTGCTGCTTCTGCTGTCGTTTTTCGCAGCTAGAATCTCTCGATCAAGATGAGCAGCAGTAATTTTTACTATTATTTTATCTGATTAAACAATGGGAGGGGGGGCAAAAAAAGACAGTCGCTTGTTGTTTTTTTCGCATTTTTTGTCGAAACATTCGTCGGCTCATTGTGAAGAGGGGAAGAATTATCTATATATCTATATTGGGTTAAGGTTTATTTTAAATGCGAGTCCCAATCCGAAGAGCAGGAGAGGGCTTAACTTGCGCATGAGTATAGTTAAGTTAAGCTTATTGATTGAGGGCTTGCATTCAATAATAACGCATTAAAGAGATGGGTTAAGCAAAACATCTTCACAATTCCTGATTAGTTATTAGTTTACTTGGGTTATCAATTTTTTATCATTGTGTATTTTTTTAAGTTCAAGGTAATATTTGAGCTTATATGATGTGCGCTCTACAAAATGATAGCAGAGACGAGGCCAACTCTAATGCATATTTATTACTCACATCAAAATGGAAGGAAAAAACACGAACCAGCTTACTGAGAAGTGCATACCTTGAACAATCGAGCAATTTGTAAACAACATTCGCATAAAATTGGACAGCATAACCAAACCAAGCAATATTGAATGATGTCCACGAAACCAATATTTGTTGTCAAAGTCTTGGAGGGAAATAATCTGTTTTGTTGGAATAAGAAAATATAATAATAGCTTGGTGGGTTCCACTGTGAGGGTATTTTAGGGGTTTAACATACTATTTAACATAATATGGATAGAATTTCTTATTTGGTGGCACTTTGTTAATGATGCGTATTTTCTTGGTGGTTCTATGAAATTTTAAATTTTTGCGGTGGCTCCCCGAAAGACCACTATATTTTGTGGTGGTTTCATATAAAAAGCTCAATATTGTATCATAAGACCGGTATATGAATATGGTATGCTAAGTCATATGAAAGTATCAAATGGGAACGGTTCATAGCAATAAATGTGCACTTAAAGAATGTCAACTCTTGGATCTATGCAAAAATCTCGAATTTCAGTAATCCAATGTGTAATGTTCTTTTTTTTATTTTTTATTTTTTTTTTATAGTCGAATACTATTATCAATATTGACCTTGAATTTAAATCGGCAACCCGTGATCTTGATGGCATGAGTCTAAAAGCCTATAAGTGTGATAAATTTTGTCTATCCATGCTTTGATTAAGGCAATTAATCGAGCTATAGTGTTCACAATGACAATTAGCATGAAATCCTAATTACCCATAGTTTGAACCTTAATTAAAGCTAGTCCAAAATGACAACTTACCATTTTAAACCAAATAATTACCACTTCAAATTTTTGGACAGCCATGTTTGTGAGGGAATTTTGTACAAAAACCCTCATGAAACCCCTACAACTCACATGGGTAAAGACTATCTAACACTCCATCTCCATCTCACTTTCTCTCTCTCTCTCTCTCTATCTCTCTCTCTCTCTCTCTCTCTCTCTATATATATATATATATATATATATATATATATATATATATAGAGAGAGAGAGAGAGAGAAATATGGGTATGTTTGGTACCAAGCATAAATTTTGTGCTTGGTAGTGAGGTGGCATAATACTCTCCACTCATTCAAATGGGGTACCACCAGTGGCGGATCTACAAAATTTTTGGTGGTGGTTCAAAATATACACTAATTTTTTTTCTCAAATAATAGCAGGTGGGAAAAAAATAAAGGAAGGGTTATTAAAGAGAAAAACAATCATTTTTAAACAATGATTTGACTTATATATATAAGAAACAAAAATATTTATAGAAGGCCTTAAAGAGGTAGACAGAACAAAGGGATAAAATGAAAGGAAAAGAAGAAGAAGAAGAAGAAGGGGAGGTAAAAGGAAAGAAGCTTAAAAGAGAAATTTTCGAAGGCTGGATGGTTTGAACTCCAGACCTCTTACAAAATGTTACCAACTGCAATACCACTAGGCTATAGAGAACTTTTGTATGAGGTGGTTCAAGTGAACCACTTTGAACAAGGGTGGGTCCGCCACTGGGTACCACATTCACATGGGTTGAGGAGTGCATGGGGATATGCAATCATTTGAATGAGTGGAGGAGATTATGCCACCTTACTACCAAGCACAACTTTTTGTGCTTGGTACCAAGCATACCCATTTTTCTCAGCTAGAGACATAACTCTACTTAGATAGGTGTCTTTATACCACCGAAAATGAGTTAAAGAAGGACATCTAAAATTTTGTAATAAGGTCCTGATTCTTTCACCTTCATCAAGGTAAGCACCAGTAAAATGGTGTGCTATTGCTAACATTAACGTATAAACAGCATCTTCTTGCTGTATACCATTTTCTATTTTTGTTGCTCCTAATATCTCATTTCGAGCATCTGCAGACAGATAATTGTCCCACCATCCTTTAAGGATACCAGTAAAGCCACAAGTTATAAAAGAGGCTATCATTCTTTCATTATTACCATTTTGTTTACAAATGGTACCATACATTAGCATTCTATGTATAGTCGAATTAATCTGGGTGTCAGATAACCCATCTATATTCCATTCGTAGATATTTCTACCATTATAATCAGCCTGTAGATAGGCATCATTTTCTTCAAAAAGAACATCTGCTGGAGTTGGTCTTTTATAATAGTACCTTTCCAGTCTTTTCTTTGGATGGCTTTTAAGCTTATTAATT